ATGAGTGTGGGCGTGATGTGGGGTTGTGTGTGATATGGGGTATGTGTGTGATATGGAGCGTGTGTATGATGTGGAGTATGTGTGTGTGTGATGTGAGAGGTGTGTGTGATGTGGAATGTTTGTATAATGTGGGGCGTGTGCGTATGATGTGGAATATTTATGTCATGTGGAAGTGTGTGTGTGATGTGGGTGTCTGTGTGATGTGGAGTATGTTTGTGTGGTATATGTGATGTGGAATATGTGTGTGTGATGGGTATGTGTGTCATGTGGAATGTGTGTGATGCAGAGTGTGTGTATGATGTGGTGTATATATCTATGATGTGAAGTGTGTGTATGATGTGGGGTATGTATGCGTGATATGGAGTGTGTATGTGTGATGTGAGGTGAGTGTGGTGTAGAATATGTGGTGTGGGTGTGATGTGAAATATGTGTATATTATGTGGCATGAGTGTATGTGATGTAGGTGTGTATGTGTGGAGTGTATGTGTATTTCATGTGAAGTGTGTGTATGTGATGTGGGGTATGTATGATACGGGTTGTGTACATGATGTGTGTGTATGTGTGTGCAAGCACTGTCTGACTAGAAAAGATCTCACATCTTCTTCCACCCTCAATCTCATCCCTGCTCATCTTGGCAGTCCAACAAAGTCCAAGGTACAGTTCCCCTTCCCTTTCCTTGTAGAGTCTTACCTGCACTTTCTTTAAAATTATTATCAGTATCTGCCTTGTGTTCTAGTTTTTTACACACATGCTTCTTCTGCCCTGCATGGTCTCTCTGATTCATCTCAGCTTTTTCAACAACTAGCAGCACTCCTGGCACATGACAGATGCTCAATACATGTCAGAAAGAGGGAAGAGAGAGAAGGAGGGAGAAAGAAAGGGAGGGAAAGGGGGGGAGGAAGGAGGGAAGGAGAGAAGGGAGGAAGGAAGAAAGAAAGGAAGGAAGGAAGATTGAGTAAGGATGGATGAATGGATGGATGGAAGGATGGATGGATGGACGGAAGAATGAATGGAAGAAAGGAAAGAAGGATGGATGGATGGATGGTTTGGTAGTCGGAAGGAGGAAAGGAAGGATAGATGATGGATCTATGAATGGATGAATGGAAGGATGGATGCATGAGTGGGTGGGTGAGTGAATGGATAAACGGCCTTATGATAAAATCTCTCCCCCTTAAGTTACCACGTCTGCCTCTTTCTGGAGAGCTTTCATTAATATTTCCTTCGCATATTAGGCCCTGAGGGTATAGAGTTCACTAAGACCCTTTTCTTGCTTATTTGCCAACAATCTGGCATGGGAGAGAAGATGGAAGGCACTCTCTGGGTCCAGCTGCTACTCTGCAACTCTGATCTCTATCCTCTCCTGGGCCAGGCAGGCAGCCACAGAGAGGGGCCTGAATGTGGGATGGTTCCAGGTGGCCCTGAACCCCAGATGTTTTACGTTTGTTGCAGAGAACACGGCCCATGGCAGCAGACATGGTTAGGGTCAGGGTGACATCAAGGGGACCAGGCCGGAGGCTTTTGGTCAAAAAGACTAATGAACCTGCCGCTCATTCCTGCTTGAGCCCTGGGTCCCCTCGGGCATGTGAAGCAAACCCTGAAACCCACCACTGGCTGGGGACGGCCCCTGTCATTTCTGGCTTTTCATGGATGATACCGTATTTCCCCTTGGAGGGTTGGTTCAGCTCATATATCAAAAGCTGGTGTAATTATTTCCTCCCACTGAGGAAGGCTTCCATTTAGCTTTCTCTAGCCCCCTCCCTTTATTAATTATCTAATTACAACCACATTCTCCAAAGAGAGAGCAGCCTTTGACATTCTGCCCAGGAACACTTAAAAAGACTTAAATATTTCGAGTGCTCTGAACTTGAAAAAAAGAGGGGTGTGTGTGTGTGTGTGTGTGTGTGTGTGTGTGTGTGTGTGTGTGTGTGTGTTTCCATGCACATGAGTTTTAAGGGAAATATGTCTTAGCCTTTTTGGATCTTTGTTTTTATTCAAAAAAAATTTCTAGGGTTTTCTGAGCACATAGGCTGGTGTGATTTAAGTGTGGAGCTTGGAGTGGGGAGAAGGCTGGGTGCAAGGGCAGCGGAATCACATGTCTTCCCCACCCACTGCTGAGCAGCCATCAGTTACATACTCTCATGTGGACACACACTGGCATACTCACCCACAGATGCACACACTCACACACTTTCACAAAGACACACACCGATTCAGACACATTTGCACACTTGCAAACACACTCTCTTATGCTTCCTGACACTCTTTCACACTCACTCTTACACTAGTGGGTGCACACATGCACACACACACATACACACACAGCATGACTCCATTGTATCAAACATTTTCCACGTTTCTGTGCCTTTACAATTCCTCCTCCAAGGACCTGCAGTGCCTTCCATGACCTCTTCTCCCACCAGGGCCTCATCCTCATGGTGATCCCTCTCACGAAGCCCTCCATGTTAGAGTCATAGTTGTCTCCCTTCTCCTTCCTTGGCCTCCCCCGGTTCCTGTTGCAGACTGTCTCAGGCCATGGGCTCATAGCCAGCATCTGCCAACCCTTCTCACTCCAGCTACTTTGGGGGAGAAGGTCTGAACACATGGCTTTGCCCCTTGGCGCAGTGAGGGACTCCATGAATCGTTGCAGAATCGACTCACTTCCTCTGGATTCTGAAAGTCACCTGCTTATCCTCACATTTGTCAACAGACATGGGACTGAGCACTTACATGCATCAGCCTCTGTGGCAAGCACCAAAGATCCCAGGGGCTCACGGGCCAGTCTTTAGAAATTCCTAACAAAGCTCAAGGTCTCCTGGAAGGAGAACACCCCTGCTTGGGACTTGTTGCAGGCCATCCTGGGAGTGTGGCACAAAGCGGCCCCCACGGTGAGCCTTGGGGCAGGGTGCAGGACCCACCTGTTCTCACTCACACCGGGACCTTTCCAACATGCCCTCATCCTGTTAACCAGGTGCTGATGTCAGTAGTATCTCATCCCCGGACCTCACGACCATGGTTCATGACCTTGTGCTTACGACACCACATCCCTGTGCAGTCTGGGTTCCAGACGCCAGCTCCCCACTATCTCCCTAGCACCTTTTTTAGTGAGCTTGGTGAGCACAGAGGGTGGTGTGGGGTCAGGATTCCCACCTCCAGGTTCCTCAAGGACCTGGACATCCTTCCTGTCTGTCTCCCCTCTCCTTATTATGTCGTCATCTTGTCATGTCATCTGTCTACACAACCCTCACCTTCTGGGCAACAAGCTTGACTCAGAAATGAACTTTCACTATAGGAGGACAGGCAGCACCTGAGTAGAGCTGTGTGCGTGTATACATGTGGTGTATGGTGTATGTATATGCGAACATGTGTGTGTGTGGTGTATGGACGTGGCCTTTGTCAATCTAGTTGGCTTCTGACACAGCATCTCGCTGGCCTGCATCCTGTGGGAGGTGTGCAGGCAGGAAAGAGGCTCTAAGTAACACCTAGACACCTAACGGGGCAGATTGCAACACAGAGCTAGATGGTACACTTGGTCCACCACAGTTTGGCCAAGGTGTACACTCAGCTGCATGGTATGAGGTGACTTGGTGGGGCTGGAAGACTTGTGAGTCTTGATTACGGTGTCAGTTGCAAGAATCAGCACACACAATGAAACTGTAAGAGCCACACACACACCGCAGGCACACACACACCACACAAGCGTGTGCGCGCACACACACACACACACACACACACACACACACACACACATACTCCACACATTCCCACACACACACACAAATACACATCACATATATCCCCACATGCACAAGCACATACAACATATACCCCCCCACACCTCACACACAAATACACAACACATACAAACACACATTACATTCACTACATATCATACACACACTATGCACACCACATATACCCAAAAACACACCACATCTCTACTTACACAGGCACACACATACCACACAAACATACACTACATATACCACACACACACACATACCCACATACACATACATACCATACAAATACAAACACACCACACATGACACATACCCTGCTCAGTCTATACACAGCACATACACATACTACCTACACACACAAACACACACTACACGTCACATGCATTACATACCGCACACACCACACAGCCCTACATGCTATACACAGTCCCACACCATACATTCATACCACACACATACTACATGCTACACACATACCCCATATACCACACACACCCAACATCGTACACGCACACCACATGCACACACACACACACACACACACACACACACACACACACCCCACAAATGACATGTGAATGCACTCTTGGACTGTACCGGTGTTGCCTGTCTGGGTCTGATGCTGCCTGTCTTTATTCGACATCATTGAGGGAAACTGAGTAAAATGTACATGGGACCTCTCTCTGTATTTTTTTTGCAACTTCCTATTCATCTATAATAATTTCAAAAACACAAGTTTAAAAGCAATAATCTACCCTTGCAGACTGCCCCCCCCCGTGGCTGACCCATTTTCCTGCATCTTCCCCCCCACACCATCCTCAGCCCACCCCAGTCCACCACTGCCTGAAACCCCCACAAGCCCCTCAGACCTGCACAGACCTCCATGCAGAGTGGCCCCTGTCCCCAGGCAGCCTGTCCTGTGGGGCTCACCACAATCAGGCAGCACCTACTGTCCGGGGAGCTGTCTGGGAAGTTCTCCGAGGTGCCTTGAGGCCTGGGAGTGGTCCTAAAGGGTGGTGAGTAGGGAGGGAGTTCTGGGCTTGGCCTGGCCCCTGGAAGCATGGGTTGCAGATGCCCAGGTGCCCCGGCATCAGTCACCTGTCCAGGTTCTTCAGGGAGGATGTGAAGGGGCCTGAGTAAGAACAGAGCCTGCTGTGTGTGGTGGTCACTCTGTCCTGAGCTCCCTCGATGGGAGGCCATGTCCCCTGGGATACTGAGCGACACAGCAGCAGTTCATCTTCCCTCCTCCTTGTCTTCCAGACTGTCCCACACATCTGAGGTGTGAGTGGGACTGGGATGCATCTGAGTCTGTATCTTCTGGAACCTGAACAACCTCAAGGAGGCACCACCTCCGCTCTCCAGCAAGGCGTTGAGACGTGGGACAGCAGCGGCTTCGAACACAAGAGCCGGACTTCACCCTCCTCCCCCAGGACAGTCCCCGGATGGGAAGGGCACTCAAGGCCCTCTTGCCAGTGACTTTGTCATTGTCATCTTTGTCCCTGTTTGGACTTTTCCTCTGGGTTTTGTGTTTGGGTGGAGGTTTTATTCTTTCTGAAAATCTCTAGATTCAGGAACATCTTTATGAGGATTTGAAGTTTTGAATTTGTATTTCCCTCTAAGTGCCTTTTTTAATGTATTTTTTGAAATAAAACTGAAATGCGTTCTTGTACAATTCTGTTTAAACTGGACCAAGGCTCTCAGAAAAGGAACCTCGGGTTCCCTCCCCTCCCCACAGCTCTGCATGATTGTTTCAAGTCAGCCTGGAATTCCCATTCTCACACCGCTAGTCTTTTTCTTTCTCCATGATTTGCTCAACTATCCTTTTTTTTAAAAAAAAATATTTTCTGTTTCAGTGTATATGTTGCTTGTTTGTTTTATTTATTGAGATATTTTTACAAGCTAAGTGACTGCAATGTGGCTGTGTATACTGCTCCCCTGCCCAGGAATAATAAAGACTTCCGAGCAGCCCTGGTCTCTTCAATCTTTGTTCGCAGCTCTACTTTGACGCTCAAGGAACTGCCCAAGAAGCTGGAAAGGGTAGAAAAAAATGACAATTGCTTCACTTTAAAGAGGACAAGAAAGGATGCAAGACATTTCATTCTGTGCATAATTGTAGAAATATCTAGAAATTACCCACTGTAATGTCATGTGAACAGATCCAGGCTTGAAAAAGCAGGTGAGTTGGGCTCAGCCCTTTTCACAAACTCCCCATCAGCCTCATCTGGGAGAGACTATTGTTCTCTAAACCATTGCCTGCTCTTTATATCAAAACATGTGCCATCTCTTGCTGTCCAAGGTTGGGACTGGCCAGTGCCCACACCATGAAGACTTCCCCACTGTTCACTCTGGGGGGCATTCCCTGCTCTCCCCAGCATGGCATTCATTAGTGCCACCCTCTGCCCACTTATCCGAATGGGTCAAATCTGCTCTGAATGTGTCTATACCATGTTGGTGATGAGTTCCCCAGGCACCTGTCTAAGGATGGAGCACCTGAACGTGCAGGTAAGGTTGGAATCCTGTCCCCAAATCCCATGAGGACCAAGAACTGCAGCCAAGAAGGAAAGTCAGGTCAGAGTCTGGTCCAGACTTGCACCTCTGCATGAAGGCAAAGCATCCCTACCTGCTGCCTCCTTACCAGGTCAGCTCCCATGGGCAACAGCAGGATGCCAGTCGCCTCCTCCCCCCAGAGACCCTTCCAGCTCTGGAGACTATGAGTCACTAGGTCACTACCTTGAGCCATCAGAGGCATGTCTTCTGGGGGGACAGTTGGCACCAAGATCTGCTGGATGGAGCTGCTCTATCCCTTTCCACTGGGCCATTGCATGGCCTCCCTGCCATTGCTGCATCTCTGGGTGTCACAAGCGGGTGCACACCCAAGTGGGCACATCAGGGGCTCATCTGTCTCCAAGTCTGGGCCTCTCCTGGGTTCTTTCCTGAGGCTTTAACTCCGACTCTGACTGGGCATGCTGGGAGCCAGTGCCAATCTTGGGTTACATGGAATGTGTAGTCATGAATAGTGTGTTCACTTTCTGTGTTCATTCCACAGAAACATTACTAGATAAGGTGCTGGAAGGTGCTGAGCTTCCTGGAATGCATACGTATGCATGTATGTGTACACATATATGTATACACATATGCCCATAGACAGCTACATTTGTGTGTGCATGTGCATATCTATGTATGATGTACATACATTCTTCTGCAACAAGCTGTTGGGTCTTGGTGATTGGACTGTGGCTCCCTCTCACCCAGGCATGTTACAGGGCTACTTCCCTGTGGTGGCACTTGCTCTGGGGTCTCACAGCTTCTCCCCAGGTCAGCTAGACACGTTGGCAATTGTGGCCCCATGAACAGATCTGTGTGGACTGGTGTGCAGATGTTTCCAAGAATCATCTCTGGTCAGATGACCCGCAAGTCCCTAGAACAAGAGAGTGCTGGGATCTCTCTAAGGGAGAAACCTACCCCAAACCCACCTCATGTTCAAGGGCAGTCCAATGGAGACTCCTTGGAATAAGAAAGTTGGCAGGTGGCCAGATCAGACTCAGTGGTTCCTGGGTGCTAGGGCCCTGGAGGAAGCAGAATGTGGGCCCAGGGGACCTGGTAGGGACAGCTAGCCAGGCAGGACCTCACGCTCAGCCAGACACTAGCGTCGAAGACCAACCTTGATGGAGGGCCCCTGACATAGGAGGCTGTGTCCTGGGTTTGGATTTAGATCCAGAGGTGAGACCACACCGGGGCAGGGACTCCTTGGTGGGATCACAGCTTCAGGTCTGAAACACGATCTTGGGCAGGAGCACTGGCCAAAGTCAATGACTAAATGAAAGATCTTGCACTTTGCTTTTAAAGGCACCTACACAAGTGGAAGGTGGGACTCACAGATTGTAGTTGCCTGAACCCAGGCTCAGTGTGAGCTGGGAGTCACGGGGTTGTCAAGAGCCAAGAGACACTTGGGGGCATCAATGGGAACACAGTGTCCACCACAAGGTCAGTCATGTGCCCTCATGTCTACCTGCAGATCCCGCGTGGCTCTGATGACACGTTTTGAGGGAATACTGACAGCCTTGAGCACTCCAAGAGAGGAGGTGGGCAGCCTTCATGGGGAGACCAGGCTGCGTCTGGATAATCAGGCATAACGAAAGACTGCATTCTGGGTAAAATGAGACCTGGGTAGACACAGGCCTTTAATTGTCTGAAGAGGAGCCCCAGGCAAGAGGCCATATTTATTCCTTGTGACTCCAGAGGTGAGGGAGCATTCTTGAGCTTCATCTGCCAGACAGCGGGGCTCAAGAGAAAGTCCGTGTTGGTCATAGAAATGGTGCCATGAGACACACTTTGCATGTAGCTCTGTGGCATGAATACATTTGCAGGCCACCACATGCAGGAGTTCCACCTGGACTCAGGCAGTCTGCCCCACTGATGCCTTCAACTCACAGACTAAGATGAGGGCATCATGTTGTCTGGAGCCAGGGCCCTTCACAAAAGGAGGACACTAAGCAGTCACCTGATGGGGAGTGAGGTGTTGCCCTGAGTAGTCATCCCATGTGGGAGTAAGGCCATCCCTGCATTCTGCTTCCCTGCTGGAGTTCTCATCCACATCTTGTCTCCAAGTCTGGCCTTCTGGGTCTCTGGTCCAGAACTCCCCCTCACTGCCCACACAGGACAGGCCACAGAGCATGGAGTCACACTGACAAACCTCATAGGATTAAATGCAAGCACTTCAATGCACAAAAGGATAGGTGAGGCACGAATCTTGGGACCCAAGATGCAGAGGTCCACTCTGACCACCAGCAAGTAGAAAAACCCAAAGTGTCCTTTGCCTAAAGGAAGCAGACAGCCACCTGGGAGGGTGCAGGGCTCTTTAGTAACAGCCAGGATCTTTGCCTGCTCATGACCTCACCAAATTGCTCCTTGGTGTCATGTACCACAGTAAACTTGGCTTTTCTCCTCTAAGCCCCAATATCTCTGTGACAAAAACCAAGTATCTACGCCTAGATACTGGGGTATCTTCTCCTGGATCTGCTTGCTGTCAACTGCCCATTCTGTCTTCATTGCATGAAGACTTCATCTTGACCTTGACTCCTCCCTTTCCCTACAAGATGCTGAGCATACTTGCCCATCCTCCCCATACATTTCAGGTAGGTCTCGCCACCTGCTGACTTAGTGGTTTAGGAAACAGGACCAACTGCTGGAAGAAGGGGGGAGCAGTGAGTGGGAACCTGAGGAGAGAAGAGGGTTCAGCGGGATGCATTGACCAGGAATGATGACCAAGTTGTGCCAGGATTCTGAGGGCATCTAGAGACCAAGTGTGGGAGGGAGCAGGGAAGGCAGGAAGCTGTCCATCAACACAGGATTGCAGAAAGCATATTTGGACATGACTGAATAAACATGGTGTCCCCCAAAAGACATGCCTGCATCTGAACCCACAGAATCTGTGAATGGGACCTTATTTGGAAAGAGTCTTTGATTACATTAAGGATCTTGAAATAAGTTCATCTGAATTTAAGGTGGTTCCTAAATCCAGTGACAACTGTCCTTATATGAGAAAGGCACAGGGAGATTTGAGAGAGCAACATGTGAAGACAGAGACAGAGACTGGAGTGATGTGTCCACAAGTCAAGGGATACCAAGGGCTGCCGGAAGCCCTAGCAACTGGAGTCAGGTCTGGAGCAGGTTCTCCCTCAGAGCTTCCAGAAGGAACTAGCTCTGCTGATACCTTGATTTTAGACTTTGGGCCTCCAGGACTGTGAGAGAATACATTTCTGTTGTTTCAAGCCAAGCCACCAGTCTGTGGTTGCTTGCTGCAGCAGCTGCAAGAAACAAATGCAGCCTCCTTAAGTGACAGTGAAGAAATGAAAAGATGTAAGCGCACAAGAGAAAGAGAACGGGAGAGGACCAAGGGACAGCAGGTGTCAGAGGTCACAGAAGAGCAGCATGACAGCATGACGGGGGGGGGGGG